TAGTCCGGTGGCTTAGGGTAAAAAAATGGCCAAATCGTGACACGGCGGATAAAAGCACCAAATTTTGCATGTGGGTACCTTTTGACATACTAAATCAAATAAGAGCCGTAGCCCACGGAAAAAAGTTACCGTTTGGCCAAAAAACCCAAAATGGCCGTCAATTTGTGAAATTCTGTAGAAATATATACATACCTATGTTGATTTTTATCAAATAAAGTATTTTCTCAATGTTTTCCACATCCTTATTACCCATATTATGCATATATGTCAGATAACAAAGAGTGTCCTTGGACTTTTTGAAAAATCCAAGATGGCCGCCGCATGGCATAGGAATACTAGAACGTGTACAAGGGTTTCAACTAATGCCAACTATAGGAAGATACATTGCCCACTATCTAATTTATTTTGTTTCTGAGTGCCTTATTACACAAAAATATTTTTGTGGTAAGTAACTTACATTTATCATCTGGCATTTCGAGAAAAATCCAAGATGGCCGCCATATCAAAGGAATACTAGTATACACATAGGGCTTCTTCTGCCATGGAGATATAATATCAATTTATAAATTAGGTTTGTTTCTGAGTATTTTCCACATCATTTTAATCCACATAATATACACATATACACATAATGTGATGAGAATGTTATGTGTATCCTTTTTGAAAACAAAACAAAACAAAACAAAATGGCTGCCACTTGCCATAGAAGGTGGGGTTCAGTTAATACCTGCGAGAGATAGGCTTCCATATAAAATGAAGCTGAATTCAGTTGTTATTCTGTTTATTATTATTATTATTATTATTATTATTATTATTAACCCATGATACATATTTGTTAGGTAATTAATGTCCATATTTGATCATTTTGGGGAAATCCAACACCCCATTTCCATAGATTTTTAGATCGATCTATCCCTGTGGGGAGTCTCACTAGATTACTGTCAGCTTGGTCGGCTTAAGCGTCTGTCCCGCCTACTTAAAGCTGTTAGGGGGTAATAAACTATGGTGCCCGCTCGGCTGACTGCAATTTAGCGTGAACCCCCATGGAGTTAGGTCGATCTAAATCTTAATCTCTAGATCGATCTAAATCTCTGGGAAAGCACCCCAAGATGGCCTTCTTTTCCCCGTAGGAAAACTGGTGCATTGGATTTTATAGGCACTTCTAAGGCAAATGAGGGTAATCATGATATTTTTTCAAATTACTTAGGGGTACACACTTGTTACCCACCAGATAGATATCTCAAAGTCCAAAAAGAATGTGGGAAATACCGAGAAACAAAATTCATTTTATATTGAATCCAAAGTAGTTGACTGTAGGCCTACTAATCCTTTTGTGAATTGCAGCAATCTTGAATTTTCTCAAATACGCAAGATGCACACTTGCTACACACCAGATTTATATAGAGTAAGGTTAATAAGGATGTCAACATGTTTGAACGGCTTTATTTCAGGTTGGAATCAATGTCTGAACTGTTCCATTAATTGACACCTATGTGCATTTGAATGACATATTCCTATGACAACTGGCAGCTATCTTGGGTTTTCTCCAAATAGTACTCAAGGATACATACACTTTCTACACACACAGAGTCTTTCATAAGGATAAATAGCATATGAAAAACATTTAAAAATGATCTAAAGTTAACTACATTTAAATTGTACTCAGTGTGTCTCTGGCATTATTTGATTATGTGTACGAATATTCTAATGACAAAAGGCAGACATCTTGATTTTTTTTTCAGAATACCCAAAGATACACACATGCTACAATTAAACCAGGTATACATCATAGGGGTAATTATAAATGGAATGAAAAAAAAATTTTTTTTAAACAAACCCATGGGAATGTAATTGTATAGTGAACCATATGTCTCTCTAGCAGCAATTGAAACCCACCCATTAGTATTCCTATGTCAAATTGAAGCTATCTTGGATTTTCTCAAAATATCCAAGGATGCACACTATTTACCCACCAGATATATATCATAGGACTAATAAGGATGGGCAAAACTTGATAAGCAAACACAATTTCACCCTGGTAGTAGATGAAAAGCCATGGATGTGCAGTTGTAATTCCAGTAGTATTCCTATGGCCAATGATGGCCATCTTGGATTTTCTCTAAATGATCAAATATGCACATTTATTACCTGCTAGATATGTATCACAGTGTAATAATAATGCGTAAAACACTGAATAAATAAACTGAACTTGATAATGAATTATGTTTTTCCTAGCTGGCATTAGTTCCAACCATTTGTAATACTAGAAGTATTCCTATGACATATGGCGGCCATCTTGGATTTTCTCAAAATGCCCAAGAATACATGTTAGTTACTCACCACAAACATATATTATGTGGGTAACAAAAATCTGAGAAACAGACTTTTTAAAATTTGATAGTGGACAACGTATCTTTCTAGCTGGTATTAGTTGTGCACTAGTATTCCTATGGCTGTTTGTATGGCATATGACAGCCATCTTGGATTTTTTCAAAAAGTCCAAGGGAACTTGTTTGCTATCTGACATATATGAATAAAATGGGTAATAAGGGTGTGGAAAACTCTGAGGAAATAATTTATTTGATAAAAATCAACAAAGGTATGTACATATTTCTATAGAATTCCATAAATTGGCGGCCATTTTGGATTTTTTACCAAACGGTAAACTGTTTGAGAGGGCTACGGCTCTAAATTGATTTATAATGTCAAAAGGTAACTACATGCCAAATTTGGTGCTTTTATCCGCCGTGTCACGATTTTTTCCTTAAGCCACCGGACTATAAAATATTTTTTTCCAAATTTTGATGCAATATTACATAACGTTTAACAGCATAATATTAATGACCATCAATTTTTAATAATAAAATATTAGTATTATGGATATTCAGAAAATGTGNGCCAAGGTGGCAGTTATGTTGGCAACGGTGGAGCACCCCCGGGCTTTACCTCCCCCGAGGACATTGCCCGGTGGGTTGGTAACAATCTGCAGAGACTTGCACAGAATGTTGGACGTTAGACTGGTAAGACAAATCTGATCATAAAATTAAATAATCGTTTTTGGTCTTTTTTTTCTCCATAGAGCTTCATATATTTAAATGCATGTGCAGTTGTAAAGTAATACCAAATGACAAAAAAGATATTTGTAGATCATATTCGTCCATTTTGTTTTAATTTAGATCTACATTCCGTTTTTTTTTATGCAGTGGATAACAATAAAAAAGAAAAGAAGTAACTTAATTTGTATGCACTCTTGACATATTGCTGAAGATTGATAGTCACAGGGCTTCTAAAATTCATTTTGACTGATAATGACTAATATATCGTGCTATTTGTACTTTTGTCTGTTTTACGCCATTGTTAGGACTGAATGATGGCACGTGTACGATATAAATCATACTTCGGCATCATTGCTGTTTCTCATGCAACCCAGCAATATTGCGTGTTTAAATCTGTTAAAAAAGAAAAGCTCGTAAGTACGACCTCATAGGTTAGACAGGGCTCTTCTTGTGTAATGATTTAACACATTAAGGGATTGCCTTGATTACCAACATTATGTCACCTATCGTTTATCTTTTAGAATGACACCATCTCCACCTATCGGCCATTAGATGCGCTGGATCGGGAAGGTTCCAGATTGACGAAGTTGTTCTAAGGACAAATGGCAGTACCTCAATAATTTTTCATAAAATCACATCTTCCTGTTTTTATTGCATCTGAAAAAATGTCTGTAACCCGTTAACATCATCAGCTTTACTTATTATATTTGCTATTGGATATAGAGAGCCATTAATAGGTTCTGAACGTAATTCATGCTAACAGAGGTTGAAGTAAAGGATTTTGAAATCTCAGCCTGTTTCGGGTATATACAATGCTGTAAATAAAAACTGCGCATAGTCCTGCCTTATTTTGTATCGACATTCTCTCTCTCTCTCTCTCTCTCTCTCTCTCTCTCTCTCTTAATGCGATGTGTCAGGCATCGCTTTTAAACGTGACTATGAGTCACCTTAAACCGACATTATGGTCTTCGGATGAACTACTTCACCACACGCGACAAAACTGTGTGATTTTCAGTAGTCATTCATACATAAATATAAGCAATTGAAGATACAAAACCACGAGTGAGATGGAGGCGGGGTCAAGAATTTAACAAAGGAGGTTTCACCAATTAATTGCACTAATGTTTAACTGAAAAAAAAAGTGGAATAGCACATGATGCCGGTCAACAAATCAAATATTTGTCAGTTTTATTAGCTGGTGTCATAAAATTGCACTGCACTGCATCTCTGCATCTGCTTCTTTTGCAGAAATAGGAAAAGGGGGAGGGGGGCTTTTGGATCAAAGTCTAAAATTACAATGTAATTCAACTGTAATTCACTCATAATGCAGATATTTTCTTGTCCGTGCAGGCGAAGTAATCGTCACAAATGCGTGCGACGTGCGCGTTGTCACGTCCCACTATGAAATACAAATGAGTGGAAATCATCCAATTGGAAGAAAATCATCTTGATTACACCGAAATGGTATTCAACGATCATGAAGGTTTTTATTCCGTTTTGGAAATTAACAGTTAATGAATTGATGCTACGGTGGCAATAAAAGTGATCCTGGCAACATATGACAGTCGCAGTTTCAATTTTGCAATAATAAATGGCAAGAATCTTTTTCTCTAATAAAGCATTTATTGTGAGTAGATTAACTCTAATTATGTCAATGCAATTTGTTTGTTTTGGGTTTTCGGACTTATTAAGGGGTAGATCTCAAAGTTCATATCACCATATACCATCCTCCGCTCTCACTCTCTGTCTCTCTCTGTGTGTGTGTGTGTGTGTGTGTGCGTATGTGAACTTGTGTAAAATCCTTGTCTTAAAATCTATACTTTTTATACTTGCAGTCTGTAATTTTCTCCTCTATTAAAAACGACCGTTTATACCTGTAATTTCACAAAAGAAAACCAGCACACAAACAATTTCTCCTGTCGATGCAAAAACAAAAGTGAGAATAAGCCATGTCAGGTAGACCTACAATGTTCATGTATTTCAGGAGAACCCGTCAACACACAAAAAAGGATAGGCTTACATGCATCAGTTGTGAGCAGCTTCATAACGTTTTCTCTCTCTGTATTAGAACTGCGCAGTTGTAATTTAAACACACGATCCCCATCATCTATAATACCCACTGTTATGCTAGTTTAGCTAATTACTGTATTAGTATAATAAGCATAATAATAATCAGATCCGGGATTATGGATAGAAATATACACATACTAGTATATTTAAACTGTGTTTCACTGTGAAACCAGCGTATTTCTCGCAGAGGACGAGAAAACCAGGTAGGCTACGATTAAATGTATTCTTCGTCTATTCTTTTCACAGCATCCGAAGCAGTAATTTTTTTATAATGTCGTTGTGCAAGAGCATACTTAGAAAACAAAATCATTCGGCCTGCTTTTGTTTCAGTGGATGTCGATACTGTAAATATCAAAACTCCAGAAATGTAATTTTTCGGCCAAACGTGGAAAATCTTGCGTGTATTTGTTTTGATGGAGTTATACATACTGGTATGTTTAGTATAACTGCTTTTATATTTTTAGAAGAGAAAACTGAGGTATAATGAAAGGATTGCCAGCCATAATTTGCCTGCTTGTGGTGGCAGTCGCCACGTGGACGGTGTTGTTTGTTCAAGCTGACGGTGAGACATATTGCTCTCTCTCTCTCCTCTCTCTCTCTCTCTCCCTGCCGTTTTCTCTATTTATTTATTTAGAATGTTCACTATTGTCTAAGTGCATGTGTATGTGTGTGTGTGCGCGCGTGCGCCCGCCAGAGAGTCGGCTTGTGGGTGTACGGAACTAAGAAAAGAACTGGCATTTATTTGCAGTATTAAAACTATCTTCAGATCTATTTGACCAGTGGATGGAAGACCATAAGTGTGTTGCAAGACGCGGGGCGGTATGTCAGCATGACGGCCTGTATTGCAGTGGGTATTACGAGACAGGACTGTGTGGAGGGGGTACACGTCGAAGATGCTGTATTCCCGGCTCTGGTGTGTTTACTGACATCTCTTTATAATTTGTTTACTTTCTTTAAGTCCTGCACAAACTCCAGAATATCGGTAGAAGTAACGATATTTTGAGACCATAATCTCATGATAATTCTTTACTGGTAGCTTGGTCAGTTATTTCATAACTGAATCTTGATATTTTTTGCGTGATGTGCCGAATGCCTTTAGCTGACGTGGAAGGAACACAGGACGGGAGCATTATAGAGTATGAAAATATATATAATTTTGTTGACTTTTCCTTTGCTTTGTTTTGCTTTGTTATGTGTGCACAACGCCTGGGACTTCTTTATAGATACTTTTTTAACAACAGAAACATCAAAATATCTTAATTCTCCTTTTATTAATTTCTGTTCTCAGCGGACAGATTGTGCCTAAGGGAGTGGGGCACATGCCAGTTCAAAGGAGAAACATATTGCCCTTTTCCCTATGCAACAGGTATATGTGGCGGACCACCACGCAGAATGTGCTGTGTACACCGCCCGAATCCGGACTAACTGCGCATGTTCAACCCACTAAGCAACTTAGCGTTGCGCAATTTCGTGAGTTTCATTTGAATTCAAATTTTAACGCTTTAAAGAAACCAAAGGGTGAAACCTGAATATTTCGCTTGAGTAGGAAATATTTTTAAGGTCTGAAATTCTATATAAAGGTCTTCCTCCCCATCACGGCTGTAGAGTTATGTTTCGGCAATAAATTTCATCTTTGTTTTATATATTTCGTTTTGTCGTAAATGGTGAGGTGAGTGCGTGCGTGCTTGCCATCGTGACGGAAATGGAACGCATGTTGAGATTGTGGAATTTTAGCAAATACAAAATGAGAGAACCATCAGAATCACAGAATCGGATTTACAAGCATCTAAGGCCGGATCCAAGCCTTTCGGTGACGACATTACTTTTTAAATAAATATTGTTTTATACTTCTCTCATATCCTCTTACCTGTTCCATAATTTCCTTTATGCCATGCAAATATAATTCTTCTTAATTTTTATTAAAACTATTTCCAGAACATGAGATTATTTTACTCTGGCTGCTTGACCCCCCTCTCCCGTGGTATCCTAAACACGTGCTTAGCTTGCTATTACATTTATCTGACCCTGCTTTATAACATTGAAAAGAAAGAAAATTGTCATTTATCACTTTTCATAACTTTTGGAATAAAACCATTAAGCAGGACTAAAGTGAAGCACACAACTGAAGAAAAAAGACAACTTTTTCATCGCGCAAAAAAAAGAAAAAATATTTACCAGTTGTTTCCCTTATCAGAGTTTATTACTGCAATACAATAATCAACCATAATTCAAGCGCAAAGCACCAGCTATAAAAATGCTTCAATTCAACATATAATAGAAATGTCAAATGTAATGGCATTATCTTTGTTTACCGTTGAGACGTTTCTAACTGTGGAAGATCCATGCTTTCCTGTCGTTTCAGATCGGTACCTATGAGTAAAAACAAAAAGAAAACAGTAAAAGAGACGTACAAACCGTTCTTTAAGGGGTTTATTTTATACATGTATGATATAAATGCCTACGTTTAGTAAGAAATCTCCCCCTCTCCTTCCGTTTCCTTTAGGTCGAATATATGTATTAGTGTAATGAATTAAACTCTTTTAAACTGCAAACTTCTTTTTTTCTTTTATTTTATTCACCAACCCACGCGCTGCCATGCACATATAGCGCGGCCGAGCATTTGTCGTCAATGTACTTTTTTCGTTAACCAAGCTTCTTTGTCAATTGGTGTGAGAAATTGGTCAGTTTCTGACGTACAAACGCTACAAAGTAAGATTTATCATGAAACGTTGGAGTCAGCACTGTGACTATTAATTGCGTGGTACACTTACATGTACCGGTACATTCCACCAAACTGTGCAGTCCATACATACATGTAGGCCTATCATTATTTGATGCAATAAATCAGCCAACTTCATTCCTAGACATAAAATGGTACTTTTAAATCACTTTAATACAATATCAGCCTTGTCTACAAACGGTAGGCCTACCTTTTTTATTCATTTCAAAAAAATTGTTTGACGTCCCGTTCACTGGCCATCTGTCGGTTTCCGGACGTACTGCGCCTGCGCCGCCATCCGGAGTTCAGATCAGCCATGTCGCCGACATCCACGTCTTCCTTCAGTGAGTGTCCGCGGTTGGTGCTCTGGTATAGGGGAAGGGGATAGTCCAAGTAATCTGTAAAATAAATATGCTGTTTTTAAAAATCCAAAAGAATTATAATTATAGCACGCAGGGGCTATACAGATAAGTTAAAAACATTTCTGCCTTTCCTTTCACTATAAATTTCAAGTAGCAAAATTGATAATAACGGATCAAAAAGAAAGAGTAGGCTATACTATGTGTTCCTCCTACGAATACACTGTGCTGAATGAAATAATGTACAAACTCATGAGGCACCACCCTGAATGAAAAGTTATCATATATGCAAATGAATGTCCATTGCATTAGATGAACCGGTTCACCCGGCTCCCCAACCTCAATTAAAGTAAACTAAACCTTACAGTTATTTTTGTGGAAGAGCATGCATGCCATTTTTGTGGAAGAGCATGCATGCCATTTGCTGCGGTCAAAGATATGTTAAAGACAAAATCGACCAATTGGTAGGCCTAACATATTTCAAACTATCAATTACAATTTTGCGTGCTGACCCTTCTCTTTAAGATAAATAAGATATTCCGAATGTAATCGATGACTTATAGACTTTCCATTATAGAATGATTTACTTTTTAAGTCGATCTGAGATCGGTTAAGGAAAGATTAGGGTACTTGTACCGGCGTCTAAAGTGTATGCACCGTTCGAAGTTTGTTACAAACAATTAAAGAACACTCTAGATTACAAGAGATGAGAGTTAGTCCGCCCAGATGCAAGGTATAATAGTGGGTGGAATGATATCGACACCTTGCATAGCACGAGTGAATTTAATTTGAATACGACCTTCACGTAAACCAAAAGGGTAAGAAGTCATTTTCAAACCACCAGTCCTGAGAGCGTGATATTTATTATAAGTGCGAAACAAACATGGTTTTCTTTAAAGCATTCCCTTGTATTGAGTTCCCGTAACGATAACTTGATAACCAATCAGCAAGTTGAAAATACATTAAAATACAGATATAACATATAATCATCATTTCAAAACGTGTAAGGAACTTACTTCTCTTCCTTTCGACATTTTCCGCCTCAACTGTCAATAACACAGTCAACGTCAAGATTACAAGACAGGAGATCTCGGACTTTCCTGCCATTGAAATTTCGTGTCGATTAGCGCCTAGGTGTCTCTAACTCTTGTTCTTTTCAGCTGAAGTATAGCCGCCTGTAACAACGGCGATTTTCAGCTCTCTTTATATATACCGTAGCGAGGTTCATTCGACATCGTGCAGCCTAATTATCCGTAAGGTAAAAATAATAACGACCACCTGAGCCGTGTAATTTTCATTGAAAATCTTACTTGATGGTTATATTTGAACAATTCTAAATAGCTACAGCAATTGATGCGTTCGGGCAGATAAACGTATGAAAGATTATGCATATGATAATTTCTACGTTGTATTAATTCAATTGACTGCTTAGACATCATTATTTCACGAGTGTAACTACACCCTGGAGTCATATTATTTTAAATCAGATAATTGTAATCGCGAAATGATCTGCAACCGCCGTTAATGAAGTGAGTAACGTTTTATTTTACGCCGTAGTTTCAAGCCAAACAGACCTTGAAAATTCATAAATGAGGAGAAAATTAATTTGGAAAATCTCTTACTCAAGCCAGTGGTGGGTTGAATCTCGTGGTAATTAGAACCCACTCGAAAACAGAAACCTCTTAAACGTCGTGTCATGCATCAAGTTCAATAAAAAAGAAAAAAGGGGGCGTCTATACATGCTCTACACACCTATAAATTCTTCTAATATATACTTATTCTAAATCGCCATCAGTGGCAAATGGAGGCATGTGAATTCGCCCCAGCCCAAACAGTGGACGATGTGCCGCAGAACTCGGAAGTCTGTAAAAGAGGTTACACACTATAGAAAATGAATAGGGCATGGGATGAAATGAGATAATCATGCGAAAGTAAAAGTGAAATGAACGTAGAATTTTCTGAGATTGCACCGCCGTTTTTAATATCATAGCCGAACAGGGAGGGATTCCAGTCCTAGGATCAAATATGTGCGTACCTGAGTGCATGGGCGTAACTAGGCATACGCACGGACGCACTGTGCGTACAATTTTTTGGCCAACCATGATATTCTTTTATATAAATTTGGTGTATATTTCACGGAATATAAAAGAAAATCCTCTGCTTATTAAAGTCACCTGTATGTACAAATCCTCTGTATCAATTGTATAGGCACAATTGTTCTGACCCCCCTGACCCCCCGTCTTGCAAACTGAAGTAAACAATGCCTGTAACCTTAACAAGTCCTATCTTAATCGTCCATCTAACTGAAACTTCCTTTACCTCTTAATTGGAGGGTTCAGTGACCCTCAACTCTTTTGTACCTACTTTCTTGAGAATATCGAACGCATTCTCAATGGCGATATTTATCTCAGGTAAAAATCTGCCTGAGTGTTATTTTCAAAGAGCAGCTCCCGCAACCCTGGGGGCACTAGATAAAAGCTGGACACCAGGTTTAAGAAGGAGCTAGAGAAACAAAGGAAGAATTTTTCCTGCAAAGCTTCAAAGAATTTTGACACGGACTTGACCCAGCTTACCCCTCCATACTAACAGGGTGACATGGTCAATTTTTACAAACAAATAATTAAACTTAGATGTATCAGAGCTCTGTCGTGTCGTACAATTGGTTGTTTTTGGGCGCCATGCATCCACATGTAAGGTGAATGAAATCGTATGTTAGTTCAACTCAGAGGTGGATCCAGGATTATTCGAAGGGGGTTCCACATATGCAAAGCTAGCCTCTTTTTAAATAAATATACCGTTCTGGGTAATAAGAATATTGAAACTTTTTTAATTGCGAGAATATTTCTGACTAAATGATGATTTTATTATAAATGGAAATTAAGCTGCGATGTGTGTTACATACACTGTATGCTGTAATTACGCTGCCCTTCATCTCTTGCGTTAGTCTAAATTTTGCTGGGAATTTTAAAAATCTGTGCGTACAATTTTTAAAGGTCTGGTTACGCCCCTGTGAGTGTGTGTGTGTGTGTGTGTGGAGTGGGGGGGGGGGGGGTTGGC